TGTGTGTGTGTGTGTGTGTGTGTGTGTGTGTGCATTTAATGGAAACTTATAAGCCACTCAAAAAATGCTCTGCACTCAGCCCTGCATGGGCGTCCCCATATTGAAGTCCTAACCCTAGGATCTCAGGATGTGACCTTATGTGGACACAGGGTGTTGACAGGAAATCAAACCAAAAAACGAGTCATTAGAACAAGCTCCAGTTCAGCATAAGCAGGGTCCTTGCAGAGAGGGTAAATGTGGGGGAGACAGCATACCACAGACATCCAGGGAGACTGTGTGAAGACAGATTGATGGCATTGCCTCAAGACAAAGAACCCAGTTGCAGCCACCAGATGTTGGGGGGCCCAGGAGGGATTCCCACATACAGCCTTCAGTGGGCTCAGTCCGGTGTGCCCTCACCTCACACTGGCAGCTTCCGCCGCTCAGAGGTACTGCCTGATGATGCTCAAGGCCCCTAAGCTTGTGCCTTGTGCTATGGCTCCCTAGAGGGGACTGGTTCTGCAGATGAGGACATAAGGCTCAAAACAATGGGGAACATGGGGCTGGAGGAAGAGGGATGACTGAGGTGGGAGAGTCCTGGCCTGCAACTCAAAGTGCAGATGGAAAATGAGGGCAAGACTGCAGGTGTGACAAGAAGCATGAGGCAGTGTGAGAGACCTAGAAGCTGTGGAAGGACCCGGGCAAGCACCCCACGTGATGCTGGAGGCCGTCCTCTGCATCTGACTGGAGGTGTGACCAGGGACATGGGCTGCATCAGAGATCTCCAGACAACCATATCTTCTCCCACCAGTCCAAGAAGTCTTCTCATCCACCTTTGCAGGTGCAGAAGCTCCTGGCTGCTCCCGCTTCCCCTTGGGGTCCATCCCACGTACTTCCAGACAGGTTGGGTCAGTGATCTGGGGCCTGGACTGCATGGCCGGGACTGCAGGGAAGCTGAACAGTACCCAGCATGCCCAGCGACAATGGGCTTCTGACCTTTGGGCAGTGCTGGGGTTCCTTGTGCCAAGGGTTTGTGTGGAAGACTCCAGGCAAAGCCCGGAGGCAGCTCCCGCCGTGCTGAGTGGGGGCCATTAACAGAGGGATTTGTTCACTTGCCGGAAGCCCAGCCCCATCGGATGGATTAAAGCACAATTGGGGCTGTGTGTGTGTGTGTGTGTGTATGTATGTGTGTGTGTGTATGTGTGTGTGCGCACGCGCCCATGTGAGTGTACACACATGTGAGAACGTGAGGATGTGTGTTTGTGAGTCTATATATGTGCCCATGTGCTGGAGGATGTGGAGAGGCTTAGAGAAACATGGCCTCCTTGTGCACCCTTGGCGTCATTCCTTGTCGGGAGACTTAGCAACTTCTGCAGGCTGCACTGTGTGGCTATATCATACACACTACGGTCTCCCCTATGCCTCTGGAACATCTCCATGCAGGGGCAGGCTTGTGGGTGAAGTACAGGCGTGGTCATCGAATCCCACGGGTGGGAGAGAGGCCCCATCCATCAACGTCAGCTGGGCTCACATCCCAAAGGGCAGTGCTACCCTGGATGAAAAGCTGAGACTCCAGCCAGGACCACAGTTTTAGGGACAGTCTTAGGGAGCTGAGAGGGGGTGTTCTGATGGGCGCTGTGGGTGGATCGTTCCGACAGGACAGAAGGAGCATTAGCCAATGGCCACAGATTAGCAAGTCAGCATCTGTCTTCTCCCCAGGACATCTTCAGTTTTTGTGGTGCCCAGTGGGATGCTGGGGGAAGGACAAAGTGATATCAGATGGTACATAGGAGGCCTGTCCCCTCCCCTAGTCCATCTTTCCTGTTACCTTGGGGTAACCAGAAGGGCTACAGGTGACTGTGGGAATTTTCCAGGCACAGTGGCACATTTCTTTAATCCCTGTACTCGGGAGGCAGAGGTAGGCAGGTCTCTGTGAGTTTGAGGCCAGCCTGGCCTACATAGCGAGTTCCAGGCCAGAGCTACATAGAGACACCCTGTCTCAAAAAAAAAAAAAAAAATTAAAAATCTCCCACCACCTGTCCCCAGTTCCCCACCTGGAGAGGATGGACACCGTGGGTCAGTACCTGGCTCAGGAGCCACTGGGCTGGGTTTGAATCCCTGATCCTCTAACATAACTTGGCAAAGTTACTCAACGGCTGTGCCTCAGTTTCCCTCTCTGTAACAGAGGGATAACCAAGCTCTTACCTCACAGAATTCTTTTGGCAACGGCCCCACATGAAGCACTTAGGAGAGTTGGTTCACATGGTGCATACTCAGAAATGCTCCTGTTGTAAGGAGCACACAGCAGAGACTGTAGACATCCACACTGCAGTCTAACCAAAGTGAGCTTGCTGTGTGCTGTGAAAGTTGAGCGCTTGCCTTTGAACAGACGTAAGGGTGAGACAGTCCAGAGGGAGTCGGGGTGAATGAACAGACACCAGAAGCTCTGCCAGGGCACAGGAGAACCCCCATTTCTTTAATAGGTACCCAGCACCTCGTGTGAGTTGAGCTGGCGGCCAGCTGTCCCCCGTAAGCTGCTTGGGCCCGATTCTTCCCTGAGGGGCCCCAGGTCAGCTCTGTTGATGGAGGACAGATGGTTCGGCCAGAGGCCTGGTGGGTCTGGCTATTGGAGGTCCCAGGAAGGCTCCTCGGTCACCAGTGCTCTCTTCCCTCCATCCACTTGGGCCCAGATGACACCTAGACAAGCGGGCCAGGAATAAGTCGTGCTTGGGCTAGGAATGAAGTCAGAATGAAGAATAAGAGATGCAGTAGTGAGGTGGGAGTGGCTATCTGCAGATGGACAGGGTCCTTTCATGAAGTCTGAACATTGTGTTCTTGCCCTGTTCATTGGCTACAGGGCCCATTAACAATGGACATGGATGGTCTCTCGTCCCCAGACTGAGAATTTTGGATTGGGATTTGTGTGACTCAGTGGTACAGTGCTTGCCTGGTATGCCTGAGCCTCTGGATTCAAATCCTAGCACTACTAAGACACCAAAAAAAAAAGGTTTAAAGACAGTCGTCATAGCAGGGGGTGGAGTCAAGCAGGCTTCTGACCGTGGGGCCTTGTGTGATTTCGACAGTTGTGAAGCCTGCCCTGTGTTCCAGCCCCATCACGTGCCTCGGTGTGAGTTTTTCTGAGGAAAGGGCCTCACTTGGCGAGGCTATGGCCCGGACAGGTTAGGCAAGGACTCTGAGGCACAGAGAGGGCTCCATGAGGGGCCCTGGTTCTCAGTCCCACCTCCTCCCACCGTGTAGACTAGAGAACACGGTGCTTGACCACGCTTCACAGTCAGGCAGCTGTGAGGACAGAGAGAAGAAGAGGCGGGTGTCTTCTTCCTCTCCAGAACCTGCTGCCATGGCTGGATGTGAAGGAATCTGAGGCTGTGCCAGGAGGTGGTGGCTGGAGCCGCTGAGTCAGCTGCCCGCTGTGGAGAGGGAAGGAGGCAAGAGGAGGGGACGAGGTCACTGGGCTTTGATTTGCTGGGTGGCAATGGGCGTGGAGAATCCCACCCCAGACATGGAGAGCTTAAACACAGATGACAGAGAGCAGAGGAAGATTAGAGTGACAGCATGTGTTTGGGAGTCACTGGATGGAAACAGCGTTAGCCCCGTGGGAATGGATGCCAAGACTCTGTTCTTCTGAATAAAAATGTGTTTGTTTGTTTGTTTGTTGAGACAGGGTTTCTCTGTGTAGCTCTGGCTATCCTGGAACTCACTCTGTAGAACAGGCTGGCCTCCAACTCAGAGATCCACCTGCCCCTGCCTCCCAAGGGCAGGAACTAAAGGCTTGCACCACCACTGCCTGGCATTCTGGGTAAATTCTTTAACAGCTCTGGTACCCCCAAGTTCCCACATGTACATGGAGGTGAGAATATCCTTACCACAGCTCTCACAATGAGAGGCTAGAAGGCACACACTTGGCACATTCCGGGACCATTAAACCAGGATGAAAACTGTATCATGGGCTTCTGCCAGTGCATGTCGAATGCCCCCACCATGCGTCAGGAAGGGCTTTGGGTGTTTGGATGCCTCCATTATCTATGTTTCTGGAAGTTGGTAAGTGCTGCACCACAGAAATAGTGCAGGGTATTACATTGGAAGGAGCAATATAATATCAAATATTGGGGGAACCCCCTGACAAAGTGACATTTGAGCAAGATGTGAGAGGTAAGAAAGGGTATCCAACAACTGCGTGGGGGAGGAAGCTGCTAGGCAGAGGGAAGAACCAGCACAAACCTCTGAGGTCAGGTCAGAGGGGAAGGGAGTGGGAGAGTCCTCATGGCAGTGGTGTCTGGTCCTCCACACACCAGGCAGCCAGCTGTCCACCAGGGGACAGTGTAGGAACTAGTGACATTGTGAGTGAATGTGTGTTGATAAAAGCACAACCATGTAAAGGACGCCAGTGCCACAGATCCATGGGAGTGTCCGTCCCCACCACCACCACCACCAGTGGCCCGAGGCTCAAAGGGATGGTGAAATCTTCCTCTGGTCTGAGTGTAAATGTTCACAGTGTGCAGACAATGCCCACCACAGCTCTTTCCCCAGATGTCTATGGCCTGAAGACTACTCCCTTACAGAGACTGCACCTATGAGTTTATCTAAACCTGCCTCCTCGTCCAGCTGTGTACCAAGGCAGCATGCTCCAACGAGCCAGCTGCTGAGGCTTTGGGCCTAAGGTCTCCTTGCAGCCTCCTATCCCCCACAAAGGCCTTACCTGGTAGAGCAGGCTCACCAGCGGAGGTTGTCCTCATGGTCACAGAATGTCTCCTCCTCACAGCCAGACTCAGCCGGTCCTTTGCTCCAGGGCTCCCAGTTGAAACATAAATCTGAATCATCTTCCTTTGAATCTGTGGAGACCAGAGACAAGGCTTCTGGGGTAGACTCAGCCTATAGTGCTCCCCAGCTCCAGAGGAGTCACCTGCAAGTGTGAACCCACCTGGTCTCAAATAAACATGCAGAGGCTTAATGTTACTTATAAATGCTCGACCAATAGCTCGAGCTTGTTACTAGCTAACTCTTACACTTAAATTAACCCATATTTCTATTTATGCTTTGCCACGTGGCTCATGGCTTGTTACCTCATTTTTTACACATCCTGCTTGCTCAGTAGCTGGCTGGCGTCTCTCTCGACTCCCCTTCCTCCTCCCATCATCCTGCATCAGGCTGTCTCACTCAATCTCCCCTTGCCCTGCTATCAGCCAATTAGTTTTTTTTTTTTTTTTTATTAACAATGAGCTTAATCCTCAGCATGCCAGGCCTGGGGGCCCTGGGGCCCTCTATGAGGCCAGAAGTGGAGGGGCCAGCGCTGAGACTTCATGGCCTTGGATGGAGAACAAGGAGGGATCTAGGAGGAAGATCCAGAAGGACCCAGGTGGTGTGAGATACCCCGCTGTTACAGTCTGAAGGGGAAATGGCCTGCACAGGATCACATGACTCTTGGTCCCCAGCTAGTGGTACTGCTCTGGAAGGCTTTAGAAACTGCAGGAGCGGGTGCCTCACTAGAGTGGGAAGCTGGGGCCACCTGAGGTGTCACAGTCCTGCTCCTCCTACCTCTTCTCTGCTTCCTGACCAAGAATGGGATGTGAGCGACATCTCAGGTTCTGCCACACGTTCCCCCATCACAGCCCCTTCTTAAACCAGGAGCCAAAATGTCAGGTTTTTTTCCCCGTCATAGTCATAAGAATGGTAACTAATGTACCTGCTGTATTGGGCATTGTCCCACTGAAGGGACACCAAGTCACTGACCTGTCCACCATTCATCTTCTAGGCCAGTCATTACCAAATATCTGTGATTTCTACTGCTTGGTGTTGAGCACACATGTGAATGAAAGAATTCCTAAAAGCACACACACCTATCGTGAGCGGCCTGGGTGACTCAATCACCACACTCACCTCACGGGAGACCTGGTCCAGCCACTCAGTGGCACACCGAAGCTGATGAATGATTCATGTTTACCTGTATCTTTTGGCTTGCATGCTGCTAGAAACCCACAGGCTTGAGGTTCCTGAGGCTGCAGGCCACCAACCACCTGGGGCCAGATCCCAGCACAAGGGCAGAACACACAGAGAAACTAAGAGCAGACAGAGATGCCAGGATGCTGTCACCTCTGACTGGCCAACTTCACTGAAGACCAAAGGGCTTATTTCAAAGGTAGAGGTAAGATGTCATCTCCAGAGAAGCCACCCAAAGTCACTGCTATACCCCTTGACCCCCTTCCAGTGACAAAACCCAGCATTGACTCAGCCAGCACTGACTGAGCCTACAAACACCTACTATGTGCCATGTACACAGGTCCTTGGCTCCCTGCACCAAGAGCCCAAGACCTCATAGAACCTTTCTTTCGTCTGAAAGATGTGTGGGGTGGGGGTGGTTACCTTCACTTTGTGGTGGGGAACTGAGGCTCGGGCAGCCCTGGTCTAAAGCCACACAGCCAGTCGATGGAGCACCGGGATTTGAAGTTTGCATTGATAACACTGCACAGGCTGTGACCCTGGGAAAGGCTTCTCCTTTCCAAGCCTCAGTTTCCCCACCTGGGCAATACGGACTCTTTCATAGAGTTCTCAGGATAGGAGGGAGATGGTACGCATCACCCATTTGGTATAACTCCTAAGTGTTCAAAAGAGGTTAACTTTATTATAATCTATCCAGGAACAGGACTGATACTAGACTCCAGAGGGATAGGGGTTGGGTTTTGAGAGAGTCTCATGTACCCCAGACTTCAAACTTGCTATGTAGCTGAGGATGACCTGATCCCCTTGTCTTTACCTCCTAAGTGCTGAGATTACACCATGCACTAGCATGCTGGAGATCAAACCATGGCTCCCTGCATGCTGTGCAGGCAGGCATTCTATCAGCTTACACCCCCAGCCAGAGATCCAGCCAGCTTCCACAGCCAGCACACAACGAGCCTTTGTCTCCCCTAGCTGCCGGGCCTAATGCCTGGGCTGGGCCCCAAGAGAGAGCTCTAGCTCACCCTGAAAGTGAGGTGAATTAAGCTTGAAACATGTTTTTCGGAAACCCGAACACTCCACCCCACCCCCAACCCCGCAGCTCTTGCCAGGAAATTGCAGCAGGACTATTAGCAGGCCCCACAAGAGGGATCGCGGGGCAGGTCATGCAGGGTGCTGCTCATGCTGCCTCAGCAGCTTGTGACCAGAGCTGGCAGCAAGCTGGGCACACTGTTGCCCAGTCGGTCTAAGGTCCCAGAGCCGAGAAACAGGGAAAGAAAAGCCTCTGAATTAAGAGGGGTCTTCAAGGAGACAGACAGTGTGCCTCTGGCCATATCCCACCCTGTCTGCCCCCTACCTCTTTCATGGTCAGTCATGTCTGGGCCTTGAGCTCAGTGGGTCTCAACCTTCCGAACACTGTGACCCGTTAATACAGTTCCTCATGTCGTGGTGATCCCAACCAGAAAATTATTTTCATTGCTACTTCATGACTGTAATTTTGCTACTTTTGTGAGCTGGAATATAAATATCTGATATGCAGGATATCTGACATGTGACCCCTGTGAAAGAACCTTTTGACAACCCCCCCCCAAGGGTCAAGACCCACAGGTTGAGAACTGCTGCTTTAGCGTCTCTTGATAGTTGCTGAGGTCAGGACCAATGTCAATAAGCTTCCATGATCCTGTGTCCAAGAGAAGGCCAGTTCTTCTGTGAGTTTGGTCTGGCCAAAAACTAGGGAGTGTGTGAGCACCCCAAAACAGCGAAGGCTGCTACGTCCCGCTATTCAAGTTGTTTGCAAAAACACACAAGAGGGTCTGAGTGAAGCTGAGAGCCAGCCCAAGCTCTGCTCAGTGCCTTTGCATTTTCTAATTCAGCAGTCAAGCCTATGTATTAGCAGTGGCCCTGAGGGCCGCAGACAAGCATCCGCCTCAGTCAAACTTGGGGACTCTGTTAAGAAACTCCCAACTGCCGGCATGATGGTGCACACCTTTAATCCCAGTACTCAGGAGGCAGAAGCAGGTGGACCTGAGTCTAAGACCAGCCTGGCCTACAGAGTGAGTTCCAGAATAGCCAGGGCTATCTAATAAGACTCTACCTCAAAACAAACAAACTAAACAACCCCAAAAACAAAACTGAAAAAAAAAAAAAAAAACGATAGGGAGGAAGGAAGGAAGGAAAAAACTCTTTTCAACTGGAGCTGCATTTAAAATGCTGTGCAACCCCTTCTGTAGTTCAGGGTACTTTATCCTGTTTAGGCCCCTGCCCAGCTCCAAAAAGAGTCCAGCCTGGACCAGCTCACCTTGACTAAGTAAGAAGTGTAACCAGACGATCATCAAGAAGAGCAGCAAACTCACGGGCAGGCAGAGCCAGAACACCAGGAAAGAGAGCGTGAGGTCGTTCACCAGCGGCGCCAGAGGGTACCTCATTGTGCACCTGCAGCCATGCGGGGCCACCTGGATTGAGCGGGCAGGCTGCCCCTGAGGACCTGGTAGCTGGGCCAGGCTCTGCTTTCGGCCCAATTGTGACTTAACAGTGAGTGTGATGTAACAAGGAAGTCACAGAAAGAGCCTGCAGCAGAAGGCTGAAGGAGACACACTGGTTTCTGAGAAGGGTGGCCAGGGCTGAGGGCCCAGCAGTCACTGGGCTCATGTGACCCTCTGCTCTTATGAAAGGGAACTGAGGAATTCTAAAGTCGAGAAACAGTCAGGACAAATGTCAGCCAATGTAAGGTACTTGCCTACCCATGGTTAATGTGGCCAGGAACCAGCCACGTCCCTGGGTCCTGCCTTCCAGTAGCACATCCACACATCCACTGCCACGCTTGTGGGCAGGGGACCCGGGGAATGGAGAGAGCCCAGTGCTGGAAGGTAAGAGGCTGGGTAGTTCCAGCAACAGTTGCTGTACAGGAAAGGCAGGTCCAGCATTGCCACATTGCCCACCCCCACAACAGCCCAAAGTCTGGCTTTTATGGGGAGTCTCCCAAGTTTAAAATAGGAGATGGGGGAGGGGTAACACACCTGTCCCTCAAGTATGAGGCCCAGAGTTGGGAGCTCCAGAATCCACATCAAGTTAGGTGGGCTTGTTAGCCTGCCTGTAATCCCAGCAGAGGCAGGGAACCCTAGAGCCAAGCTGGCTAGCCAGGATAGCTGAAACGGCAAGGTCCATTCAGCAAGAGACCATGTCTCAAAATTGATGAGGAAAACGCCTTGGGTGCACCTGCCCCCCTTCCCATACCCCAACAGATGGGATCAAACTTTGTTAGAACATTGTAGGCTAAATCTGTCGGGTCACTCACTGAGCGGCTGCTTAGAACTTTTAACAATAATTCATTTTGAGGCTTCTCTCACTTACCCTTTTAGGAGTTTTAGCAAGGGATTTCTAAAAGCTTGCCCCCTTATCTCAGTGGGCAAGACAACTTGTATCAATCCTCCTCTCACCTGGCCTGTATTTACTAATACTTGTGGCAGGAAGTAGACACTGGGGGTCAGGGGAAGTCTGTGCACAATCTTCAAAAGATGAATGGGGCCGGGAGGTAAACATGCCAGTTCCTAAGCTCACCCTCATTCACTGAGGCTGCGCCCGAGGGTGTCAGGTCTGAGAGAAGGCAGGCTTGACTTGGGAGAACACAGCATTTCACAGCTGAAGAGCACAGGTTGAAGTCAGGATCATTCTAGACTGGAAAGCTGATGCATCAAAACTGGGTTAGAGGGTGAGTCATGGAGGAAGACACCAGTCTATGGAGAAGGGGAACCAGGCCAGGCTGAGTGGACCCACAGAAGGGGTCTGGGCAAACAGTATTAAACATGCACCCAAGAGCAGGATGCAGGCGTGGACAATGCAGGGACAGAGGCCAAAACAGGGGCAGTCAGGACTGGGATTTCTAGTGCTGGGTCAGAGAGCTGAGCTACACAGGTGGGAAAACTTGAACGCTTATATTTTTGGCTAGCTATGAAACTTTCAGACACCAAAATGGGGCCACTGAAGTCAGCTTCTGCCAACAGGCCAAGCTGGAGGTCCTGTGACTGGCAGGTAGAGCTGGGTAAGAAGTGGGGAGGTGGCTCTGGGTCCCAGGCAGTTCAGATCCAGCAAGAGAGCAGCTTTGTGGGGTTGGTGTGCCTCGCTGCAGGGGTGGCTCTGGGTGGAGGCAGGCATTCTAACAGCTCTCACTTATGTTTCCAAGATTTCACAGGCCATCACCTGAGACCCAGACTCATGGCCCCAACATCCTTCCTGTAAGATTCTCTGCAGCCAACCTCTGCAAAGGGGCAGTGAGGGCATGGGTGACCTCTGTGCCTTCCCCCTCTGGAAATGTCCCTACTTACCCCAGGATTCACTCACTCCCAACTTCCACCCTTTGTATCTTAATGCTACACAGATCCTGCCAGCATTAGAAGGGCATGTCCTTTTCTCTTAAAATTAGCCTAATTTTGAGTATTTCAGGAAAACTAAAAAGCCAGAGTGAAAACCTAGATTTAGATTAGTTAAAACTGAGCAGACCCTCCTTGAGAGTCACTTAACAGTGACCATGCAGGAGCCAGCCCCGTGGCCTGTAACCAAAAGGACACACCAAGCTATTAGATAAGAAGCTCCTTAAAATTTAATTGACTGCATGTATTACATTCAGTATCCCGTGGGTTTCTTGTGGACGGAGGACAGGCATAAATACGAACAGCTCTGCACCTTCTTCCCAGGCTGACGCAGATTCGACACAGGCAGCGAGGGACACAGGCACACTTTCATATTTACATCTCCTTTACTTTACAGATCAGTGGCAGAAATATTTACAGAAAATACAATAGGAAAAAGATCCCATCTTGGCAATATACCGAAATTCATACAAATTGTAAATATGGTTTCGAGCAAATAATGATACTTAATTTTTAGCCACAGCTGCAAAGCCCTTCAGAGGAAGATGCCTTGGTCACTGTGGGGACAAAGAACTTGATTTGCTTCAACAAATAGGTATTGGGCGCCTACTGTATGCAAGGCACTGTGGAATCCCAAATTACACATTTTCCCTCATCACTAACAAACCTGTCTGAAGAACGAGGGTGGCTATTCTGAGAAAACCCCACACAGTGCATGGCTCTGCCAGCAGCAAGACCAGTGACTCCACTGTCCAGGTGGACCCTCAGGAAGAGGGGATGTCAGGGAGTGCTGGGAACAGACCAGTGGATGCCAATGGTCACTGTTAACACAGAAGGTCCGGCCTGAACAGGCTTTAAATAATAAGGGACAACTGTTGCCAGGAGAGTGTCAAATGACCTCCAAGACAGCTGTCACTGTCTACCCAGCTGTGCCCAAGGCTGATGCTGTGTGTGTGTGTGTGTGTGTGTGTGTGTGTGTGTGTGTGTGTGTGTGTGTGTTGCTCCACTTTTCAACAGGAATACACCCTGGAAAACTCATCACTGTAGAGGTCAGTCTGCAGAACCTGATTCTTCCCTAGCTCAGACAGGAAGCTGTTCTTCCATGCTGTCCTACTACCTGTAAGCCAGACACCAACAGGGCCAGCCAAAGTGTAAGTATTTTTATAGGTAAGACCAGAGATGGAGTTACCCTAAAATCAGGAAGCTGGAAGAGGGAGATGCTCATGTATACATGTGCATGGCACATGCATCTGTAGCTGGGCGAGGGGCTGCCCTACTACTATAATTATTCTTTTCTAGGGGCCAAAGTCCAGGTCTTAAGAGGAAACTCTAGACAAATGAGGAAGGTGGCTGCCAGGTTCAAAGAGGCTACGAGTCCCGTTTCCTGTGCTCCCAGTCAAAGGAGCAACCCCCTTCCCAACCCAGCCAGCTTCAGAAGTGAAAAGGAGAGGCCACCAGCCTAAACAACCTTAAGAAATGTTTTCTCTTTGAGATTGCCTGGGCATCCAAGTAGAGCAACTGAACAGCTTAAGCCACAGTCCAGACTGGTTCCAGTGTTTCCCCAAGTGTCTGAACCGAGGCGGCAAATGTACCAAGTGAATGACTAAGACTATTGTAGGTACGAACTACATTCCTCTGACAAGATTCTGTTCAAAGTGATCTGAGCACAGGCAGGAGGGTGAACTCAGTGAGCAGCATTCCAAACCATACTCTGAGGCCCAAGGCTCTTACCACACTCCTTTGGTGGGCAGATGGTGTGTGGAACAGAGGGGGCCAGTGAGGGGGTGCATCCCAAGTTCTGATGGCTGTGCACACTAGGACTTCTCTGCCTTAGGGGTATGTAGCCCTCCTTCCTTGGGGAAATACCATGTACCCCAGATTTCAAACTGCATCTGCCATGGTTTTTCTCTTAGCAAAGTCATCAGAATTACAAAGAGTTAGAAATTAGAGCCAACAGAAGGGGAAGGACCAGTAAGCTCCCCCCAACACACATATCCCATACATTATCGTTCTAGTATCATTTAAACAATATCCAAAGTAAAAATTTTTCAGAAGAATCACAAGAAGGAAGTACAACTTTATATCAGTTATTTGTAGCCTCTGGAATGTTTTAAATTGCATGTGTATGTATAGATTCTTTGTTCACCTTGGACAGAACAAGAACCCACTTTCCCCATGAAGTGTCAATCTGGAAGCATCTTAAAAGTTGTTCAATTTCACCTCTTCTGAATTACTAAAATATTTTTAGGGCAAAACTCACTACTAATTTTTACCATTCCTCACCCCATGTTATCACCTAGAAACCTTAGATTATTGCCTGACTTAAAAAACAAACCAACCTGGGTGGTGGCGGCGTACACCTTTAATCCCAGCACTTGGGAGGCAGAGGCAGGCAGATCTCTGTGAGTTCAAGGCCAGCCTGGTCTACAGAGCGAGATCCAGGAAAGGCGCAAAGCTACACAGAGAAACCCTGTCTCAAAAAACCAAAACAAACAAACAAACAAACCAAAGAGTAGAAACTGGGCTCACAGCAGGAGTTAGAGGGTGACATGAGGGACAAGCATGACAAGGGGTGTCTGTACCTGAGCTGAGAAAAAAGGGGGTGGCGGCAAACCAGACTACAGGCTGCTCCACACATGGTTCTTGCTCCGAGACGGCAGAACACACACTTCTAGAATGGAGGACCTGCACAGGGCAGGTCCAACACTGCCCCAATAGCCTAGGAAAAGAACAGAACCTCGCTCAACCCACACCGAGGAGCCCTGACCCAGACTGTAATGACAACAGAGGGCCACTGGGAGCACCCCTCTTCAACTAGGATTCTTCTTCTTTGGACTACAAATGTCACTTGTTTTCTAAGACAAATAATCTTACTGAAGGAGTAAGAACATAAAAGTAGGTATATACTGAGCACTGTAACAGGAGTCCTTCTAAAACAATTTGGTTCTGGCCACCTCCTATGCTTTGTCCTTGACAGAAGAGACGTAGTCAGGTGACAGAAATATTCCAGAGTCCTGGCAGGGACTTGTACCTTCAGCTGGCTAAGGCCAGGAAGGGTAACAGCAGCCGCCACCTAAGGAAATGACACTGGTTCTGTGGACTGTGAACCAGGTGCTCTCTAAAAGAGCCGAGTGATTGGTGGTGGGACACTTGTTCCTGAACCATGAACAGAACCCTCCCTCAATTACTGCAGCTTGCTGCTTGGTCCTGAAATAAATGATGGATGAAGCCAACTCCTTTCCAGCCCCTGTTGTGAACTCACATTTCTTGGTATTTAATGGAGGACCCATGTCTAACATATCATCATGCCATCAAACTGAACAGTAATGGAGAAATGAGGCACCACTGCTCGCTCAGTTTTAACCCCAAACATGACCACTAGGCCAAGAGAGAACACAGCTGTGCTTCCATTTCCATCTGACCGCTAAGAAGCTGAAGCCATGTGACAGACCTCCACGGCAATGAGAGGGACAACTTGCTTAAATATGGAGAGAAAAGAGGAAATATTTTAATGTCAGACTTATCTGAGCAAAACTCATTTATGTTTTACCCTGTCAGTGTGACAGGAGACAAATGGATCAAAATGTGAGGACAAAGCTGCAGCCTCTTTCCTTCATGGTGTCAACTGAGCCTTAAAAAGTTCTAGAAGATTCTGAGACTGATTTTAATTTTGAATACACCCTCCTAAAAAGCGAGGTATAAACTATCTTCAGCTCCTAACTTGTAAGCCTGTTGACACTACCAATGCACGTATGTAACTGATGCATAAAAGCCTTTATCCTCAAAAGGCTTGTATTTTACTAAAACTGTCACTTTAAAAGAAAGTTTATGGCTAAAATGCTTGTTGTCATTTTCAGCAGGAGTGTGACGTGTGAGGTCCATTCATCAGGAAGCTGGCACTCCTCCAGCCAGTGGCTTCACCACGTGCTTCTTCTGGTGATTCAACAGTGAGTTCTTGGGAGTGATTCCTTTATTTTTCACAAATGTCTTGCTTTGATGTCAGAGCCCATACTGCAGTCCACTGCCCTGGACAAACTGTGCTCTAAGAACTGCAGTTTTTCAGTCCGACCTCCTGGAAAAGGGCAGTATAAAACTCTGGCTCCAACTGCTTATTCCGGTACTTGTTGACAATGTCAGTGATTTTCTGTTTCCGACGGACATGTGGTGGACTGTAGGAATCACTCTCCAGTCTCTTTCTTCTACAAATGTTGATTACAGTCTGCCGCACCAGAAAGCCTTGAAAACAGATAAGAACGCCTGTCAGTGAGCTCACAGGCGAGCGGTGTCAGGGAACCCATTTTCGGAATCCCGCAACCCTCTTTCACTGCAATCCCATGATTCCCACCTCAAAGACAAACAGGGCACTGAGACGAAACTGCTGAGAGACATCAGCACAGGGCCAGAGTCAAACCTGCTCGTCCACAGCCCCTTGCCCTCTGTGCCAGAACAGCCATTTTCTCTTCAGTTAGTTCACTCAGTGAAGGCCCACTGGTATCACCAGATTAAAGCTTAAACAATGACAATACCACCCCTCCCCCTCCCTTCTTCTATGGGCAGCAGCGTTTTCTACATGCAGTGACTATTAAGACCGTTTCCTTACTTATTTGTGGTTTATGAAATTGTTAAAGAAGGCAGTCAGTGGTATAACCGCTGTCATTCTATGCTACAATAACCTCCCACCCCAGCCCCACCCATACAGGGAGCCCTATCTCAATTCAGTGAGTCACACAGACATGAAAGGTTGGCAGAGTCTCAGCAGAACAAAGGGGAATGCGGCAAGGCACTGTGACGTGAAAATACAGGTATGAGATTGTCAAAGAATAAGAATCAACTAAAATGTAAAGGTGAGGGAAAAAAAGAAAGCCAGGACCACAGCCTTTCGGCACACAGAGCCCTTACCTAGTGCTCGCCGACTGACTATCATCCCATCAACAAGGGGGATGACCATGTTAAATTTTCCAGTGGCTCCTTGGATTTTTATCCGGAACAATCCAGTGTTTAAAGGGTGGATGAAGATTACTGGGACTTCTTTTTCAAGAGTTGTAGATCTTAGGAAAGAAAGTCTTTTTAGTTCAGTCACAAGAATCTTTCCTATGAGGTCTAACAACACATACCAGGGCCTGGGGAGCAGAATCTGCCCAGAGTCCTCTTCCTGGAACCTGTGCTGCCTCGGCCTGGAACCACTGGCTGTAAGCACTTATCCCCAGGATTAGGCTTTTTAAGTAAGAAACAGTCTGAAAAAAAATTCTTAGAAGACCACTTCTAAGGATGTGGCCTAGAAAGACCAAGCAAGTATACTGTAGAGGGCTAAACATGTGGCTGCCAAATACATGACCTTCGCTCAGTCTATTGTTGCAGAAGTAGAAGCATGACTGTTACAGCGTCAAGGCAGAGCCCAGAGTACAAGCAGGAACATCGAAAGCCCAATGTGGGAATTATATTATATATGTGTGTGTGTGTGTATACACACACATATATATATATAATATACACACACATATATATACACATATATATGTATGTATATATATAAATTTTTTTTAACAAGATAGGGGTTGGGATAAATCTGGAAAACAGTATGCTAAGAGAATTAAGTCAGGCATAAAAAGATAAATTCTACATAATAGCATTCCTCTGAAGAACATAAAGTTAGAGTATGGATGGAAACAGGAAGGTTTTTATTGGAGGAATACAAAATGCCAGTTATGCAGAATAAGTTAAGTCCTAGAAATCAAGTGTCCACTGTACTGAGTAAGTCTGTAATACAGTCTTGTATTAAAAATCTAAGAAAGCA